CTCATATCCATGGAGCACCTGTGTATTAAATTTCAAACGACGAAAGGAATAGGGATTGTGACGAGTAACTTGAAATACCGTACGCACTCAGAATGCGAGGTGGTAGCAAGGGTTTGAAATATCACTCTAGTTGCAATTCGAGAATCCTAGTTGCAACTCAGGGTTCAAAGCATTGCCTGAGTTGCTACATGGCATGGGAAAAAGGGTACATGCTACCCAACACCCAAAAAAATATCACAAAATGAAGAAATAAGGAGAAAATATGCGACACTCTGAGTTGCTATTTGTAAGGTCTAGATCCAAATGAGGAGGACCGAAAGGGTACTAGCTAACTAGCGCTTGGGAAAAAATGAAGAATTCATAAATATTATATCAGAGACAGAGAAAAGTGGCAAACACTAAAGCCAAAGGTAGACGACCAAAGATGCAATTGGAAAAATCTCAAGCTTGGGAGCTAGAGTGCTAGACGGTTCATGATGGTTGAAGTAGGCTCTTCTTGTCTTTGATTATGGAGAATCCAAGGTGAGAAAGTTTGAGGCATAATTAATAGCACAAGTGAAGCCATGGGGGATGAGGTATGTAATGTTGGGGCGGGTCTCGGTACAAGCAATGCAAGGTGTTCCACCCGAGCATCCACACAAAATGCAAACCATGTGAACCCAACCACTACACTAGCAAGATCGTTAGAGATATGGGAAAGCGTGGGGTACATGATTTGAATATGGTGAAGGTTTTGGCTTGGAACCTCAAAGGATTTGGAGAGTGGTTGAAGCCTATCGGACCGAGGATGATTATAGAACAATAGGGAAAGTTCAAGCATGGATGAATGCGTGTAGAGAATGTAATGCGAGATGATGGGGTCAGTGTATACTACTTTCTCTAATTGTCTGGACAACTAGATAAAGAGGAGGACTCGTAATGGGATAATGGGCTCGGGGTCCAGAGATGATTGGGCTTGGGGAATTGATACCTAGGAGGTAATTAGGACAAGAGGATGATTGGAACTCATGTGCAAGGTTTTAGGGGCCTACGTATGTAAGAAGAAGGGAAAAGAGTTAAGGGTGTGAATTCGATTATGGAACAAAATTAAAGGGTTGAGATGGTAAAAACTAAAGAGATGTAGTATAAAGTCATGAATGGACAAAGTTTTGGAGCTAAAATGATGCCCCAACACTCAGCTACGAGTGCGACAAGGGATGGCGGGGGGTGGTCGGCTGGCACCGGTAGCTGTCGACAAGCATTTAGGCCTGCTGTCTCGAATTCCTGAGGATTTTTTTTTTCACTTGTTTTCCACTATTTTAGAACCCAAAAATACTAAAAATTAGAGGTTCTTACTCCATTCAGACATCAACATCTTCAACGAGCACTTGACTTTCCTAGTTTATTGTCTTCTTGCCTTTTTGAGCAACTTGCATAATTTGTCTAGAAATTGTAATAGCCCTTATTGGGCTTGGATTCATGGAATTTTTTCAATATTATTAATAATAATTCACAACTTCATAGGCAGACTTGACCATAAACTCCCCCTTATGCGCTTGGTTCCATCCTATTTCGTCAATTGTTGCTTCTTCATCATCGATAAGAATGGAAGCTAGTTTGTCATCCATGAATGTCCTAATTTAGTCACCCATCACTTCCCAATGCCAATCTTGGTTAGGAATCCAAAGATCTACAGTAGTAGCCTATTTACTATTTCACTCAATTCCTAGGATAAGAATTCTTTTAGAGCTCTGTCGCCAATACACAGGTCAATCCAGAACTTTGCTTTTCTACCATTTCTCACCTTCTTCCTAGCTCCTTGGCTTATAATTGGCACAACGCTCACAATTCCTTTCCATAATTTTGACGAGCCCCTCTTATACTCTAAGTTTTCCAAGCAAAAACCAAATCGCATGTATTTTTCTACATAAGACCTGTGCCCAAAGCTTGGGCAAATTATGCTATGCGCACGGCGCTAAAACGGCGTCGTTTTCCGTGAAAACGACGCTGTTTTAACTATAAAAAAAAAAAAAAATTGTTCGAAACGCCGTTAACGGCGTTAACGGCATATTCGTTATGAAATTATGAATATACAGTTATGACATTATGAATGTACAGTTATAGAATTATGAATGTATAGTTATGGAATTATGAACTTACAATTATGAACATAGAGCTTCGAAAATTATGAATGTTCGGTATGGAATTATGAATATACAGTATGGAATTATGAATGTACAGTTATGGAATTATGAATGTACAGTTATGGAATTATGAACATAGAACTCTGACATTATGAACTTACAATTATGAACATAGAGCTTCGAAAATTATGAATTTACAGTTATTGAATTATGAATGTACAGTTACGGAATTATAAATGTACAGTTATAGAATTATGAATGTACAGTTATAGAATTATGAATGTACAGTTATGGAATTATGAATGTACAGTTATGAAATTATGAACACAAAGTTGTGAATATATGCTCCTATAACGAAGCGATCTGAAATTAAATTTATAAAAAAAAAATAATAAATAAATAAATAAATAACGGTGCCTGACGGCACCGTTATCCGTGCCCATGATGCACGCTGGGCACGAGCCCACAGCATAACTATTGCAAAGCTTGTTGTTTTCACGAAAGAGTCTTCATCTCATTACTTTGCAAGAAGCGACAGGTTAAGTTAATGGAGCTTCCTAATATCGAGACCCTCGTTCACTTTGTTTGATGTTACCATATTTCAGTTGACGAGGTTGCACCTTCTCTTGTCCATGTTCCCTCCCCCACAAAAAGACTTATCTATTTCTCAATTTTTTCACAAATACGTTTAGGGACCAACATGGTCTACATGGAATATGTAACATAATACTTGATATATAACTAATAGTCATTAAGCAAAAAGTTATTATTTGCAAAAGTAATTTATGACTGCGATCAACAACAAGGTGCTACTGTTTACAATCCTAAATTGTTGTTGCAAACAATAATTCACTATTAGTAGTAGCACGTTGTTAGAAAAATATATATATATTAGAAAAAGTTTGGCAACTTTATCCATGATACCATTAAAATGTTTCTCTATGACTCTGTCACCGATTGATTACACTCCAAGATATCTCCTTAAATCCTCCGTTACTAGAATACTCTCCTTTTCAACTAAATACTCATCTTGTTCCCTGCGAAAATTATTAGAGAAAAAAAATGTACACTTAAAGATTAATGATTTAAAAGGTTTACAATTTTAATACTTAAGGTGCGTCAATTCAACACTTAGGAAGCGCGTTAAGATGCATCAGTTTAAAAATACAAATTTGAGCTCGTGCACACATTAACATACTTGCATGCACATAGGGCACACTGCCAATAATTTCTGGGATTAACTCGTGCACACATTAACATACTTACATGCACACAGCGCGTAGGAAGGAAAAATTACAACCATCCATCAAAGCTCGTGCACACATTAACATACTTACATGCACACTGGGCACACTGCCAACAATATCTGGGATTAGCTCGTGCACACATTAACATACTTACATGCACACAGTTTGTATTTTAAGGGATGTTTGTATTTGAAAGGGGGTTTGTATATATATATATATATATATATATATATATATATATAGTAAATACCAAATTTGATCATACGAGTATTAACAAAATGACAGTTTTGACCCACATGTTTAATTCCTACTAATTTTCATCCATGACTATTATTTTAGTGCCAATTTTCATCCACGACTATTATTTTAGTACCAATTTTTATCACACCGGTCACTCCTCTGTTTAATATATGCCGAAATATGAAATTATTAAGGGTATTTTTGTCATTTTCAAATTAAGATCCCAATTTGTGCATGAATAAAGGGTTTTAAGTCCTAAGATCGATCCAAATTCGCAATTCTCATTCTCAAATTAAGGTAGGATGAGGAGGAGAACTGCGAATTTGGATAGATCTTAGGGCTTAAATCTTATTATTCATGCTCAAATTGGGATCTTAAGTTGAAAAAGACAAAAATACCCTTCAAATTTTTAGATTTCGGTATGTCTTAAACGAATGAGTGATCGGCTTGATGAATTTTGGCACTAAAATAATAGTCATGGATGAAAATTGGTACTAAAACAATAGTCGTGGATGAAAATTGGTAAAAATTAAACACGTTGATCAAAACTGTCATTTTGCTAATACTTATGGGACCAAAATTGATATTTACTATATATATTATCATTCATTCATTCATTTATTTAAAAAAATAACCCAAATATATTTACTAAAATTAGCCCCAATTTTCTAAACCATATTCCCCTAATTTATCTTACGACGTTGTTGACTTGCAGTAAAGACAGCGAGTGTAGGTGAAGGTTGCAAGTTGCAACTCTGATGAAACAACGGTGGAGTGACGGCGATCGGACCCAAATGTAGAATGTTGTCCATATAGGATGACTTGTAGAAATCACATGATTTTTTATTTATTTTTCAAAACAAATGGTTGATTCTTCATCTTACTAACAAAATTTTTCAAATGGACCAATCGAGGAAGAGTTCGTTAGAAAAAGAAAGAGGAAACATTCAATCAGTACACAACATACGCTAAAGAACTGAAGAATGTTCGGATTCTCAAATCGAACCAAAATCCAAACCAAATTGAACTAAAATTTATTACAAATGTTAAATCAAACACAAACTAAATGTCATTTTGAATCAAGATCCACAATGCAAAGTGAACTCTAATCCATAGTATAATTTGCCAACAAGGCCTCTGAAGTTATTTTAAAATATTCCAATTCCTATCCAACCTATTTTTCACCCTAATTAATAAGCACTTAGCTATAAAAATAAAAATTATGAACTTAACTCCTATGGTCGTACCCATAGCAAACATAGTGAATCACTATCGCAGACTTTAAAGCTAATTTAAAAAGAGACCTTATGAATTATGATGAATTCAAAAGTGCAACTTATTAGGATGAAAATTTGAAGGCACTTTTTCCTTCATGTTCGTATACTTTTTGAAATGAACTCCAATACATGGTGAAAGCAATTCAAAAGTATCTAACACAAATACAATGGCCAAAAATAGATATCTGAAAAGACATCTGTACAATATCTTTTTAATTTATAAATATAAAAAATATATATAATATCTCCGTTACTCAATACAACATCAAAACAGACATCTATCTGAGAGCCCCTCCTGCGCTTTAGTACTTTCCTTTTCTTGAGCTACCTTGAGAACACCATTATCTACCAATGGCTGCAACTCTTCCTTGATCAACTCCCGTACAGCAGGATCCGAGGTTTCCCAGAATGCACTTATCACCTTCAAACTGAAAACATGGCGCAATGAGTACAAGCATGCGTTGAAAAACAACAAAATGAAGTTGGAGAATATAAAATAGAGAGGGGTATCTATCAAATACCTGTGACCTTGCACCCACGTTGCACATTTTCCTTTTAAAGCGTTCTCGTATAACTTACAAGCGAAGGCAGGGCACTCTAGGACCAGTTTTCTTATAGTCCTACTAGAATGGTAGTGTTCAAGGAGATGCTCCTCTTCTGACTCTTCTAATTTTGGCTGTGAAGCGAGGGATGCTATAGCTCCATGCAAGGCACCCAACTTTTCATCCAGAATGGGATGGAGAATTCCATCGGCACCTCCAGATGCAACCTACATCCATTCACCATTGAAAGATCACAACAATGAAGCCTAACAGCAGGACAACTGTAAAAGATGCAAACGTTTAGGCTCTAGCAGCCTTTGCCTAAGAGAAAGTAAACAACGTCAAACTAAAACCTACATTGAAAGATCACTAAAATAGAAGACCAAGACGCTGACTCAGGAATTGGTTAACTCTGTACAGTGCAATAGTATGTCTTCTGGTTAGTGTTGCAAAAATCCCGCCTAGGCGCTATACGCCGGCCAGCCGCCTAGCGTATCACCATAATCGGTGGTCTAGGCGGCCGACTAGGCCGCCTAGTCGGCCGACTAGGCCGCCTAGTCGGCCGACTAGGCCGCCTAGTCGGCCGATTAGCTATTGTTCTTTTTTTTTTAATGGGTTATTTCACCCAAAACGACATCGTTTTGAGCGAAATAACCCTAAATTGTTCAAACTCTAGATTTTTTTTTAGGTTAATATTAAATATTTTAGTATTAACTATTAAAGTATTAAATAGTTTATAATTATTAGTATTAAAAAAATTTGAAAAATTTAAACATATCTTTAAAAAAATACACAGGCACCCAGGCGGCGTTTAATCGGCGCCTAGGCGCTCCCCAGGCACCCAAGGAGCGCCTAGCTATTTTTTCAACCATGCTTCTGGTCAATAGTTCAAGTATGTCAACTGCATTGCACTTATTTCCTTCACTTTTGTTCTGGGAGTGGGGGCCTAAGTCTACTGAGCAGTATAGAAACTTTCTGTTGTTTTGGGGATTTCATGCATTCAGATGGCTATCACATTCTTGGATACAGAAATTTCCTTTTCCATTGTGCATCAAAGTTGAGAAAAGTAGACTACAATCAAGTTTCTCTTTCCATACTGACTTTGAAGATGGGTATTGCAGTTGAACCACCCCATCAGCCATTTCCATAAGATAGTTAGGAATACAAATTTAGCAGGAAAAGGCCAAAACGTTACTTCTAATAAAGGGAAACTGGAAGCGGACTATAAAGAACTCTGAATCATTTTTTGTGTGACAACTACAAATAGTTTTTTATTCAAATGCGAAAAATAGAGCATCCTCAGAGTATTATAAATACCTCAAATATAACATCTTTACCAAAATTGGATCTAAGTAATTCTCCTGTAATCTCCAAGCACACATTGATGAGTTTCTGCAACAAATAATAAGTTAATCAATGCAACATATATCTATATGTTTGTGGTTTAGTGAGAGAAATTATATAATTGTTAGAAGCTTTTAGATTTGGCAAAACTACAATTCATATATATATATAAAGATGTACACCTCAATATATGCATGGAAATGAAGGCAAGATACCAACCTCAGCAAGTCCACTATCAACCAACAACTCTTGCCTCCTCCTTAAAGGATCTTTTTTCCCACCCTCATTTAAATGTTGAACTTTTGGTGGAAATTTAGTTTTATTAGAGTTAGCCACACCTGCATCAATTTCATCTTCTTCATCTACACCTGAAGGCTCTGCTTCATCCACATCTGTCGGTCCCTGTTTCCATGAAAGAGAAATTTGTAAACCTTCAAGACAGAAGCAACTTGTTCTAGGAGCTCTTGGTTAAAGGTGGAGAACTTGCCCTGAGGAGTGAAGGAATTGATAAATTCATCGAGTCCAAATCATCTGGACTAAAATAGCGAGAACAGAGGGGATGAAGTAGCTGCAACAGTGGTCGCCTTGCATTCTGCAATCACACAAAAGAAGAACAATGGACATGTAGACAGGTTAACAATGATTATGGCAGTACTTTTTATAGCCTGTTTGTATATAGTTTAATATATGTGAAGCAATCACCAGAAGTAATATATTCCTAAAATGTAATTCATTCTGCACGTTTTCATAACAGAAACTGTTCTGGCAAAAGAATAGCAGTCCCTACAATATCCCTAACAGTTTTGATAAATATCACAAGTCAAGGAAGTTGCTTTTTATTCACACTTTTTGTTTTTCTTATTTGTTTATTTGTCTGCAGAAATGTGATTTGGTGAACCTGTGACTGAATACCAAAAAAAATAAAAAATAAACAAAATAAACATTCATTTTCCTAAAGCTAATAACCATAACCAACCAGATGGAAAAATGAAGCATGAGAACATAGGCAAACCTGATCCAAAACAATTTCCTTCAGAATGTCCTGAAGCTCACGAATAATGATCTGAATATGAGAGTTCAATGGGGGCTTAAATTAATCAGTGGCAATCCTTTTCTAATAGAAAAACCCATGATGCAAAAGTGGTAGTGGCAAACCTTTGATAGAAGTTTCGTGTCATCAACAGTTGAAAGTATGCACACAAGCACCTGGTAAAAAAGAAATACTTCTCATCTCAAGAAAATGAAATGGCATGGATGGGTAAGAACCGTGGAACTAGTAAGAAGTTAAAACTTGAAATTGTAGCCTACAAAAACAAAAACAAAAACAAAAACAAAAACAAAAAAAAAAAAAACAAAAAAAAAAACAAAAAAAAAAAACAAAATAAACAAAAAACAAAAAACAAAATAAAACAAAATAAAAACAAAAAAAAAAAAAACACTTTACAAACTCCACAATAATCTCTTGGAAATTAATTAAAATTAAGGTAAATAGTACATCAACTAAATCATATACTCACCATACAACCAAATTTATCACGAGCAATCTTCTCAATTTTGCCTTTCATTCCTTTGATGATTTTCTTCCTATCCTAAAACCCAAAAATAGAGATTAAATAAATTAATAATTGAGTTGCATAATAAAAGCATAATGTACAAGTTAGAGAACACAAGATCAAGTCACTTCTAAAAGGAAAAAAAAAGCCCACTGAAGTAGACCTTTGCACTCCCATGCTTGATACAAAGCATTGCAATCCTGGATCCATCCTTTGTGTGCATCATCCGGACAAGGTCTGCACTTGATAACTGCTGAATAACATCTGCAGCAGAAGACTTTTCAACAGATTTGATTTAGAAAACAGAACAAAACAAACAAACAAAAATAAAACAAAACAAAACCAAAAAAAAAAAAAAAAAAAACAAAAAAGACAATGGGGAAAAATGTTAGCAGCAGGAAAGATGCTCCTCAAAATGCTATTGACTTATAGAAGATATATGAAAGGCATCTGGGGCACCTGATCAGTGATGCTTAAAAACTCCATCAGTGCCTTGTGTATGATAGAGTGGTCAAGGATTCCCTTCTCCAGAATAGGCTGAAGCACAGCTGCCATATGACGTACGACTGAAGATTTTTGTAGCTGTAGCCTGGAAATGACATCTACAACCCTGGCAGAATTATTGCATATAAATGCATGCTGGATTAGGAACCACTCTCAACAAGAAATGACATCCACATTGCATTTCGAATCAGATGCAGCTAAATCTTCAAACATTACATACCTGGTTTCCTTAACTGAGAGTAAATCCTTGAACATCTGAATTTCAGACGAATAGAGTTCTATTAGAAGAGCTTGCTTCTGAGCTGAATTTCCCAATTGATATGCATGCTCAATAACTGTTCCAGATCAGCAAACATTATTCTTAAATGAACAAGACAAAGGCTATAGGATTGTAAACCAGAAATTTTGATCATAAGACATCACTGCCAAAAATCACAGGTTACAGTCCAACACATCAAATAGATTGACCATTGAAACACTAACAATCTTAAAGTCTATGTAATTCTGAAACAGGATTGTGTAATCATACCCAGCGAACCAACCATCTGACGAAGAAGAGAGGCAACATGCCCATGAAGAGACGAGATAAATTTTGCCAGTTGTTCTTTGGATGCTGCAAAGCAAATCAAGATTGTAATCATGACAAGTTCATAAAGTAGAGCACATGGGACTCATTCAAAACAAGAATTTGAAGTTAGCACAAGAAATTTGAACTTTTACATATTACCAGATAGAGAGTAAAATGGACAAAAAAACTAAAATAAAAGAAAAAGCAATTGAATGAAAATTACCATTGTCTAACATCTTTGTCACCAGATGGACTGAATATGTGTTGCAGGCAAGTGTAATAAAGTGAGGGCGGAGCTCTTGAAACACAGCATTCCTTTCCTCTACAGTGCAATGCTTCACACAAGTCTGAAGCCAATGAAAAGAACCAGAGTATATTAGTACTGACAAACAGACACTATTGTTGAAAGGCTTTGATATAGAAATGGAAGGGGAGAAAAACCTGGAGAACACGAGAAGAAACATGTGAGCTAGCAACTTCAGGGATTTTCCCTTGCATCTTGTTCAGAGCTTCAGTCACCAATCTTGATGAATGAAATATATTTAGAAAATGTAGATACTAGATACACTTGAATAAGAAAAGTGATAACTGTATTATTAAAGCTAAATGCATAAACCATAAGTCATAATCATATACCTGGATCTATCTTCTTTCGAAATATTTCTCTGTCTCATCTTCTCCCATAATTTTGTAAGCTCCTATAAGAAAAGGAAGTAAATAAATGAATTTGATAGCATATTTCTAAAAACCAAGCAGTTTGGGCAAGCCTGGGAGAAGGAAATATAGGCATATAGCTGTTTGCATTGCCTGCACAAACATCCCAAACATACAGCGTAGAAGAACTTGAAGCTCAAGGTGATAGGTAGTTGGCTTATTAAATTTAGGAAATACCACCAAATTGAAGTGCCAGAGTGACTAGTGAGAAGGTTTTTCATGACTACACAAAAAGATGGACAAGAAAAATCCCCTCTTAAGGTTCTAACAGTATAGGATCTAATACAAAATTGTCTATGCATGCTTAATAAATATCATGAGCTTCTTTAAACCTTGTAGGTAAGACGGGTGAAAAGGAAAATAAAAACAAGCACACATCACAAGCCATATTGAAACAAAAGAGAGGGATGGTTAAAAGATAGGTGACAGCACTATGGAAAAAAGGACAAGCATTGTGCCCATAAAAAGTATAGCTTGAGGCTTCAATATATCATTGCAACTGCCAATTTGGAATGCATTGCCAATAAACAGTTTAAAATAGCTTCAAAGTCAAAATTCTTTCTTTGTGCTTAAATAACAAAGGTATGCATTGCCAATAAACAGTTTAAACTGGAAAAAGAAATACTTGTTCTAATGTATAATGCCTCTTCCTCTTCTTCTTCCTAGCTTCAGTTAGTTCCTGCAATAAAGAAACACAAAGAAGTATAAAATGTGCACATAACTCAAGGAACTTTCTACTTTCGTTAAAAGCTACCAATTAAAAGAACACAAATATCAACAACACCACAACGAGCTCAGCAAATTATTTATAAACTATGATATAATCCCAGGGATAAACCAAAAAAATAAAACAAAAAGGCAGAGCTGCACGAAGATAGCTCAGGTTCAGGGAACTGTGAACAAACGCAACATGATAAATTCGGAGTATATAATCATACGAACAATCACACAGAGGCCTCACCTTAGCGCGTAAACGGCTCTCGCGCTTCGATTCCGCATTGTCTGTCTGAGCTCGAGGCGTAGCTTCTTTTTGTTTCAGTTTCGCCCCTTGCTTGGACGATATGAAAGGCTTCTTCGGACCATCCTTCGGGTTGCCGGAAGCTGATTTCAGTTTCTTAGGATTCGATTTAGTAGCGTCCCCTTTCGGGTGGGAGACGTTTTTTCTCTTCTTCGATTGCTCTTCCTTCGCGGCCATTGCTGATGCAGCTCCAAGTTCGTTGCTCTCCGGAGGCGGGTCGCGATTTTTGGGATTTTCTGCACTTGTGGGTTTTGCGAGGGTTTTAGTTCGTGGGTTGGGCTTTCAAACAAAGGATATTAAACCCACAAACAATACCAAAATTAAATAAGTACGCGCCCAGTTAGAAGGTATAAAAGGGCTTAAAATAGAAATGGGAATTTTTTATTTTTTTTTTAGCACGATGACTTTATTACAATCTACTATATGTCCATATATACTTTTTCAACCTATTAAAATAAAAAGAGTCAATGCCCCCACTGAGGTTCACAGGGTTCAAACATGTGACCCAAATGATTCAAAAAAATTACAAAGGTGCCATTGAGCTACAAGCTACTTGGCGAAATAGGAATAATATTCAAAAATAAAAATAAACATTGTTTAAAAAAAAAAAAAAAAAAAAAAAAAGAACTCATGAATCTTTATAATGTAGTAAAGAATCAATGCATCCAACACAAAATAGTATATGTGAGGATTTGATCATGTGACCACCCATTTAAAATAGTAACAGAGATGTCATCACAATACATAGTAGTTGGTAAAAAAAAAACAAAAATAGAAAACATTGTTAGTGTTTAATATATCTACTAATGTCAATTATTATGTAGTGTGATGATACATCTGTTACCATTTTAAATGGATTGTCATAAGTATAGAACATATTCAAATTTGTTGAGGTTAATGGTACATATTGTATCACTTTCCTACTTTTTCTTTTGTTATATTAGTATTTGCACCCGAGCGATGAACGGCCATAGATAATAATAATAATAATAATAATAATAATAATAATAATAATAATAATAATAATAATAATAATATAATTAAATAATATGATATAATAATAAAAAAATAAGAAAATATGTATAGAATAAATTATTTAATAACAATTACTATTGCAATTGTATTACACATTATTGAAAACTTCTTTATATACAACATTATCTCCACAAATCAAAATTTTTAATCCCCTTATATTACTTACTCTTAAAGTGCTACGTACATTCGATCATGATTAAACGCATGTTTTCTCAAAACCAAACCCACGTGCGAGAGTGTTTGCTCTTGGCTTTTATTTATTGTCATGGCATATGATAGCATCAAAGGGAATTGTTTTCTTTGGAACTTGAAAGGTAACTTTGGATCAAAAGGTGTTAACGACATTCGGGGAACTAACACCTTTGTTCCTGCATTATTCTTGGACATAATTTGAGCTTCCAAAATATGATCCGTCGATCTAGTAACAATTAGCCTAGTTCTGTTACACAATCCTAAAAAATGGCCTATGTTTATCAAAAGCATCATCGGTGAACCATCTTTTATCGTCAAAGAATGATTTGGAACACCCAAACACCACAGACCATTATTTAAGAATTCCGGTGTGTGTAGATCTGATAGCATATCTACATTTGAATCGTTGCAAACCAAATCACAACTCAAATATGTCATTTATTCAACATGATTCATATCTACTATCTACTATAATAATAAGAGCCAAGAGAAGTTAGGCCTATAATGGGTAGAAAAAATGACCGTCAAATTATTAAATCAAATGAATTGTTCAGATTTTAATTTTTCCTTGAGATTTCCAAATTTATCATTAATTATATGATTTCAATAAGAAAAGTCTTAGGTTCGAATCTCATCACAATCAAAATTCTCTTAAAAATTATATTCTCAGTTAACTTACTCATTGATTTCAATAAGAAAGGTCTTATGTTCGAAACTCATCCCAATCAAAGTTGGCATAATTAGTACCCTATTTTAGTACTTTTATTAAATTAAATAATTTAGTAGCTATAACAAAAAAATAATACATACGCATTTCTTTAATTTAGAATTATGAGTCTACAATGCCTTTATTCCAAAAAATATATATATATATATATATTCATTACCAATAAATAAATAAGAGAAATAATTTCATTAGTTATATTGTCTTTATTTTTCTCCAATGTAAAAATTCTTTACATTCAAATTCATCAATTGATTATATTCACTACCTTATACCAATCAGAGTTCGTTTTTTTTTTTTTTCCCGAACTACATCAGACGCCTCATAGGTACTCAAGATATTGTGTCTGGAGAGGTGGATAGATAGGACTACTAGTTGCTCGATCAGGACCCTAGCTTTATTGCGAGCCAAAAACCTTGATAGATTCCAACATACTCAGTTTGAACAGTTTCCACGTCTCGAAATGAATTCGGATTCGCTCAGTAAGCTAGTTCTGGAGTCAATCAATCCGGATGAGACAAGACTAAAATTGGAACACTTTTAATACTAGTGGACGCAATGTGGCAAAAATAATTATGGTGGACTAGAATTGGAAAAGCCCCTATAACAATAGGACCAAAAATGGAATTCACTCTTTATTTATTTAATTATAACAATGGGCATTGACTCATTCACGCAATGTGCGTGTAAAACTAGTCATTCATATAATCATTGATGCTATCTACCACATCTAGTGATGGAGCCAATATAGCACGATTTTCAAGATAAATAAGATTATTGTTCGCACTGTGAAACATAGGGAATTTTCTCTCAACAATTCTAGAAATATGATCATCCTCATATTACAATAATAATTGATGAGGTATACTAATCTCATAATCACCCTCGTTTGAATTACCCATTACTCCATCACCAATATTAGCAATCCACTTTGCAAACTTTTCAATCTCTTCAAATTCAACCCCGGATTGTATCCCTCTTAGGCGAAGATTTTTTGTCAACCTAAGTACTTTGCAACTCCTCCAAAAGTAATAAGAAGAATTTATACTTGCCCCAACAATATCTTGCCTTATGCCCTTTGAAATTACTGGTAGTATTTGACGAAAATCTCCACCAAACACCACTGTTTTTCCACCAAAAGTCATATCATAACCGCTTGGATTTTTCAAGCGTAACAAATCCCTCATTGTCGTATCTAACGCTTCGAAGCAATATTTATGCATCATGGGAGCTTCATCCCATATATTAACTTGCATTGTACAATTAGCTCTGCTAAAGGACTGCATTGCTTTATGTTATATGTGGATTCTTCATTTATATAAAGAGGTATTGCAAACCTAGAATGCACAGTCCTTCCACTGGTAATAATAGAGATGTTATACTGCTAGATGCAACGTTCAGAACAATTTCACCTTTAGACCTTGAAGTTAAAGAAAGCGCCATCCATAAAAAATTCTTACTAGTTCTATAACTATAAACAAAGCACAATCCTCCAACGTTAGCCTCGACATATCCAATGACTGTTTCATATATCTCTCTCTACTCTTTTGTTAGTTGATAAACCAAGAGTGCATTCTCTTTCTTTAGAACATCACGATTATATGGTAACTCTTCATACAATAGTCGATTTGGTGTAATCCTAGAATTCTCAACATTTGGAATTGGCATTGATAGCGAGGAGAAAGCCGAGTCCAGACCCAGCTGGGATGTGGGCGTAGGTCAGGCCAAGTCCAACCCCGGGAGAGAGATGATGGGCGCGGAGGCTAAGGACCGAGTCAGGCATACTGCAACTAGGATTGGTGATCAAAGATTGCGGCAGGTGTTGGGAGGGATATTGTTGGGCGTCGGGCGGGTTGGGTGAGTTCAACCCCTGCTCGATTCGAGATGTAGTGTAGTGGCTTACCATGGAGGGATGTGGTTAAATGGTTAATGTCCACATACTTATCACCAATTGGTTTTAAGTAGGATATGGCAGCCAGATAGCCAAAGAACTCTTGGTTAGGCGTGTTTAACTTACAAGTTACAACAGTCACAGGCTGGGTGACCCCCGACCCTAGGAAGTAAGCATAATGCAGCGCTAAGATCCATAAAAGCATAATTTTTCTTGTAAGAGTTTATTAAATAAATATTAAAATTAAGACAGGTACTATTAGTATAATCTTGAATTGTGCATCCTTAGACAAATAATGCCACACAGCTTCCCGAACAATCTCAGGTTTCCCAAACAATTTCCTCAAAGCACATCCTGACACCCATTGACTTGCTTCATTTATCGCGTCAACATTTTCTTTATCATCATATACTAAGCCTCTAGCATAACATGCATCTCTGAATGACTCGTATTGTATACCATCCACCTTTCTTATATCTGTATAACTTGTAGGTCACCGAACTTTATTCAATAGACATCTAAGATGAAAAATTTCACTTGTCCACATAGAATATCCTGCCTATTGCAAAACCTCTTCTCCTTTGATGCCATTGTCTAATATCTTTCTTCCAAACAATTTTTTTGGCATTTCTGCATAAGTTAAAGTCCTCGCTTATTGATACTTTTTAATTGCTTCAAACCATTCGAGAAACATGCATGCTTTGTGCCACAGTTGGTCGATTTATAATATCTGCAAATATAATACTTTGCTCATTGGGAGATGAAAGCTTAGGCGTTCCACGAGTAGTAATTAGTTGTATATCAAATCCAAATAATCTTTAGGCAGCTTCACACGGAGATATGTATCTACAAGCGTAGTACATATTGATTTCATCTACCACTTGACCACTTTGATCTTCATCGCTAGTTTGTAAAATTCAACAGTCACCTGATCATGTCCCTTATTGACATATTTGAACAGGTATTTGATTGAACGGGATTGATTGCACCACTCAACATTAATATGAGCTCTGTACTTTGACAACAAGTGTTGATTGTGCGGTACAACGTACCTATTATCAAGTGGAATTCCGTTTCAAATTGACCGTCCCACCACCTAAAAGATACTATTTCTAAACTTAATATTATGAAAAATTAAATTGTAAATAAGTTTAGTCAAGTCTCGTTAACCGAACCGGACACATAAAATGAGACTGAGGGAGTATATATTATACTGAATGATGATTAGTAAAAGTTGAATGATCATCTCTGTATTCCCCGTCTTCTCTATACTTTACAACGGTTCATGCGAGGATACATATCCAATTTCACAACTTTTAAATTAAATTTTTGAATTGTGAATTTTTATACATTATATTTGGACAAAATTGTTGGGATTATACTACTTGCCTCTATAAATATAGATAAACCCTTATTTTTTATGGAACAGCCATCTGGTTAATAGCAACAGCGAGCAGGCATGCATTTTAGGAAATTGAATGAAGTTGAGGGAGGAATCTGATTCCTGAACTACTGCATATATATATATGACCTTTAATTTATTAATTTTCTTCTCTTGTGCAAGAAATGAATGACAAGCTAAGCATACGTATGCAATTTTCATGCATGGAGCTAGCTAGGAAGTGGAATGAGGAATAAATTCCTCTCATATATATGATCTTGCCCTTTAATTTCAACCTAAAAAAATTCCATTCATCTTCAATTCACCATCATGCATGCTTAATTCATCAGTATATTTCATTGAGAGGGGATGGGATGGGCATGTGGCTACCTCTTAGACTATTGTGCATGAATTTGGATTTTCTTCACTGAAAACTGAGTCAATATTTCCATTATTGTGATACTCATCATCTCTGTAATGGTAGTAGTCCTCTGCCATCATGGTATAATAATGCCCATCAGGCCTACCATATTGTGTGTATGTTGGAGGTGATGAGTCCACATATTGATCATATCTTCTTGTGACATGGGGTGATGGCTTATAGCTGTTGTAACTGTGACTTACATACATGGGGGGTGGTGGTGGCTCTTGTCTGTATTCTGAACAGATGGGGGGTGGTGGTGGCTCAGCTCTAGGTGGTTGAGAATTATTCCATTGTTGTGTATAGCCATAATGTGGAGGATAGTGGTATATCACATGAACATTATCCTCCTTTGGCTTTGAGGTTTGGTCTGCTGTTTGCATTTCAGCAGTCTCAGGTGACTGTTTCTCCTCATCTGCTGGTTGGTTTTCGGGGGCCATCGGAGGATCAGGATCTATGGCTTTGGCTGTCTCCTCAGCCTCATCAGGTGGTGGTGGTGGTTGCTCTGATGGCTTGGGTTGTTGTTCAGTATGAGAACAAATCACAGCAGCACTCTTTCTAGTCTTCTTAATGGCCTTTACTATCTTCTCAGGATCTGCCCTTCCAACTATTCTAATCTTTTGATGAGGGAAATCAATGTACACTTCATAGATCCCTGCCATGCATGAACAAAATATATATCATATTATTCAACCATTTACATACAAGATGATATATATGAAGATCTTCAAGAAAACAAATGACACCTAAATTTGTTGGGCAGAGGACGGTAAAAGGTTTAAAAGGCCAAACACATGGTGGTTGGGGCAAATGATATAAAAGGCCAAGTCTAGCATTCAGTGGCTAGGTGGAGGGTTTAAAAGGCTAAAGTCTATAAAAGTTACACATTTGCTACTAGCTATAACTTTTGGCATAGTGATAAACGTTTGATACTAACAACTAACATTTAGGGTCTGTTTGGAAACTTGAAAAATGACTTCTGTAAAATGTTTTCCGAGTTTTCAGTGTTTGGATGCAACAGGAAAATTCAGTCAACGGAAAACATTTTCCGTTGACGGGAAAAAATGAAGTCATTTTGGTGGAAAAATGACTTCCTCCAAAATTTGGGGAAAGTCATTTTCCGCCAAAATGTTTAAACATACAATTCTATTCATTTTTCTGGAAAATAAATTAAACACGCCAAGTTTTCCAAAATGCAACCAAACACTGGAAAGAAAAATGTTTCTGAAAAATGACTCATTTTTCAAAAAACATTTTCCAAAAGTCATTTTTCTGCTTTCCAAACGGACCCTTAAGCAGCATTATATTCTGATCGTGGCGGCCAGTTACATACCATTTATTCCATGTAAGGCCTTCTTGATTTTCTGTACACACCCATTACAATCCATCCTCACCTGTACCTCTGTGATTCTAGGCTTCTGCATGCAAATTAAGAAATACCAATAATCTATCCAGTTAGTGAATACAGTACAGACTAAAAAGGTAACCGCGGGCGATTGCAAAGATTCGATAGATAGATGTTGATAATGAGGCTAGCTTATATTACCTCCAATTCTGTAGCCATAATTGCAGAAAGGAGAGAGAGCACAGAGGAGCTCTGAGGATGGATGGAGACCAGATTGGAGGAGTGTATGTATGAATTGAATAGAATTCAATGGGGAATCAATCTTTAATTGCCATGCAATTCAAGGGAATATTTAAAAGACTGAATTGAAGATATGGGGCATGCAGGTAAATTAAAGAATCTCCTTTTAGGATGAGTTACTGCAATATGCACTTTCCTTGCATGGAAAGATCAAGCTTTATTAGTAAGTTATTCTTCCAAAAGGCGCACAAAGAGTCCCCCACACTGTCGTTGGTGAGACTCAATCCCTCGTCATTCTTTCAACTTTTCACCTCTATGACTAGTTGAGCTACCCATGCAGGTATTTATTAGTAAGTCATAATCATAGGGTCATTTATGGTCCACACAAGTTGTGTAGACCATATTTTGTATATTGTACAATAATGTATATTCAGTACAAAAATAATGTACATTCAGTACAAAAATAATGAACATTGTATTTAGGAAATGTACATTATTTTTATACTGAGTGTACATTATATTGTATAATGTCGTACATTTAGTATATTAAAGATGTACTTTTTGTTATGGTGCACATATCACTATGTGGAGCATAATTTGCCTTAAAAAGATGAGTGGTTTTTGCAATTGGTTTACATGTGAACACATATCTATATTTTCTTGGCTTGATGTTGTGTGTCGGTCCAATCAAGTATCAATCCACAACTCCAACTTCATGCTTAATTTAAGTAATTTGAACTCTTTTAATTGATATAATGCTTTTTGGTGACTGACTTATAATTTTAGGTATAAGAGAAGAGGGAGTGATTTTGTTTGGACCTCAAAATGTTGAGCCAAGTGGAATATGCTTTAGGTAAAGGATGGATATGTAATTGTCCATTCTCATATCTCAAACCGTCCACGGGAGAAAAAAGCATCAATTTGGGGATAGGAAATGGCTTGCAGCTGGTCAACAAAATGAAAGTGGCTTTAGAAGGTTTAGGGAATCCTTTTCCTACAAGTAATTAATATATAAAAATATATATAATTTATTGATATTCACAAAAATGCATGCTTTTTTTATTATTTTTTTAAATGATCATTGTCAGAAATTCGATTATCACATTATATTGGCCCTATTTGGTAACATAGTTAGCTTATCAGTCAATTTTGACTTATTTGATCACTATTAGCTGTTTCACTTGGTTAAACAATCAACATGATTGTTTGATTAATTAACTTTTTTGTAACAGTTTATTTTGCATGTAATCAGCTATCAGCTAACAGCTAATTTACCAAATACTTTTCTATAATCAGATAACGTTATCAATTAGTCAAACCCACTAACACAATCAGCTAACAGGTGTTTGGTAATTTGATAAATACCTCATTATACATTTAGGAGTCTGAAATGTATTTGTCAAATTGTTGAGGGAATTTGATTGGTGGTGATTCGGTGCAATGAATTTGGGATTACATCATTTTAGTTTTTTCTTTATTCTTTGTTGGGAAAAAACAGAAGAAGACAGGCATGACATTTGACTCGTACCGAAAAGAATTGGATATTTATATTATGAAACATCGTCTATATAATAACGTAAACTCAAATTATAATAAAAATGGAAATACTTGTGTGAGACCATTTCATAGATTTCAATTCGTGAGATGAGTCAGATCTTTGAGTAATGGGTAAAATCGTTGATCCATACTTCAACTATTTTTTTTTTTTTTTCCTTTCTCATACTTATTTGTCAGCTAGTCTTGTAGTCTTTTTAAGAAAATCTTATCCCATCTTTAATGTGTCAGACATTAAAAATGATCTCCCATCTTTTGAGCACCAATTTCATTGTGAAATTCATCTCCAATTTGATCCGGAAGGTTCACGCCCCTGTGAGCAATTAAATCTTCAAACTTATGCTCAAAGATCCTACCCGTCTCACGAATTGAGATCGTGAGACGGTCGGTCTCACACAAGTTTTTGCCAATAAAAATATATCAATTAATTTATAACTTCTCTTTCTATATTCTTTCTTTTTTAAGGAAAAATGTCATATCCCCTCTAAATTATAGTAATATAGCTTATTTCCCCTCTCAATTGTATGTACATCTATGTATATATTATATTTAAGAGTTAATTCCACTAGAAGTCCATTGTCTTTAGTTGTAATTTCAAATTTAGTCTCAAATTATCATTTTTGTCATTTAACATCTTAGACTATTATTTTTTGGAAACTTTTAGTCATTCTCATGACTTTTCCTATTTTTAGTAAGGGTATTTTTGTCTTTTCATATTTTTCTTTTGTTATTTTTCCGGTTTAATTTGTTTGGAACTTTAGTTATGGAACTTTAGTTAACCTTTGATTGTTAGTAACCATATTTTTCAACTTGTTTTTAGTAAAGTCTTAAACCAATTAAACGGTTGAAACAAAAAAAAAAATAATAACAAAAGGAAAATATGAAAAGACAAAAATGTCCTTATTAAAAATAGAAAAAGTCATGAAAATGACTAAAAGTGTCCAAAAAATAATAGTCTGGGATGTTAAATGGCAAAAAACGATAGTCTAAGACTAAGGGAGGGGGGGGGGGGGTGTATTCAATCATGACTTTCATAGAGTTTTAAAGACTTTTATGAACTTTAAAAGTTTGGAGGTATTCAATTCAAACTTTTAGGGAGTCTTTAAAAATCAAGCGATGTTCAGTCAAGATTTTTAAAGAGTCTTTAAAAGTCGGGTGGTATTCGATTAAGACTTTAGAGTCTTTAAAAGTCATGTAGTATTCAAAAAGTTATGAGCTTTTGTAGACTTTTTAATTTTAGGACTTTTGTAGACTTTTCCTTCTCAAATATAAATAGTTGAAATCCAACCATCAACCCCAAAATTTCAAAATTTTCTTTATACCAACTCTTAATGTTTTCTCTCTCTATTTAAACTCTATTTTTTCTATATATTTAAACTTTATAGACCTATCTAAATTCAATAAAATTATTTTTTATTCATTATCATATATTTTTTGTTGGAATAATGAAGCAAAGTCGATTTAATATCGTAAGATAATATTTATATATATATACACAAAAATATATAAAATATTATTCGATATATATAAAACGGACCCCAAAGGTTATATATATCTACGAAAAGTATATATATATATATATATATATATATATATATATATATATATATATATATATATATATATATATATATATATATATATATAACAACCAAAATGGAAGTTATAATCCACAGATTATAATTCCAACCAAAAGGAAACGAAGTAAGGATTTATTGCTTAAAAGCATAATCCCAAAACCAGAGAAGAGAGAAGATGAAGAAGAGTGGTTAGTAGATATGGCTCGTGTTTGGTGTAGGGCTTTTAGCACGAGTCGAGCGACCACTCTTTCCTTAAAACCTTATTTGCCACCTCCCAAAAGTGCTAGGAGTATTGTGGCATAGGTTTCCCAGGATAAAACGTACTACAGTTCGACGTTTGAGCACCCAAACGAACGAACCCGGCGAACTAGAGCATGGGCAGAACACCATCGGCAAGAACGGAGTAGGAGCGGAGTTTTGAGAGAGCAAAATCTATTGTATGTGTTGTGTCTCTTTTTCGCTTGTTAACAACAACGACATTAAATCTAATTTAAAATCATATTATAACCTTCAAAAATTGACCATTTAACATGGAGATTAATATAGAGCTAATTCTATAATAGCTGAATTAATCCTCCAAACAACATTACACGAGTTCGGTCTCAATTTGGGTTTTGATTTACACCTCCTACGCACGAGAGAGAGCCTCTATACTATATAATTAAATAAACTTTAAAAGAGTTCTTGTATAAATAGTGGTGCAACTGTGCAAGTCTACTTCTCAAACCAATGTGGGACAAAAGCTACACTTTTTCCCTTCATTTCCAACTCAAATGGGTCTACTTTGAGAATCAATATCTCATTCACTCATTATCTGTTTTGAGCGTACAATATATCAATCTCTTCGTCTCACTACGAAGAACCCGAATCCACTTTGACCCAACCCAAATCGAAAGTGGACCCCACTGATAATTGTACCACAAGATAGCTACTTAAAATGCCATTTTAATGCTATTTTTCCAACATTTTCTTCATATCTAAACTCTACCAATTTTTTCTCTCTCCTAAACTTTACAATCTTCATCTAAATATTCAAAATAATATTATTTTTACTTCATTATTGCTTGTTTATTTTTTATTTTTATTCTTTTCATGTTTATATTCGTAATATTTTTTTTAACATGTTACTACGAATAGAGAACTACTATTCTCATCAACAATTTGGGGCTGCAAACAGTAATACATTTTTGTTGTTCGCTGTCTCAAATTACTATTATTGCAAATAATAGTTCTTTGCTTGATGCCTAGCAATATATCAAGTATAATTATATATATATATATATATATATATATATATATATATATATATATATATATATATATGTGTATGTATGTATGTATGTATGTATATGTATTATTAATATTATATATATTTTTTATTTTATACAACTTGTAATTATATTTTTAAATATTTTATTTGATCTATTTTTTTACTATAAATTTTAGTTTTCAATATTGTTGTGAATTTCTAATGAAATATATATATATATATATATATATATATATATATATATATATATATATATATATATATGTTTTGGTGTTGATGCTTATTTATAATATATAAGTAATTAGCATATAAGTCTCAGCATGCTATGTATAAAAATAATAATGTTGAGAATGTTGATGTAAGTGAAAAACTATATAATAAGAAGAATTTTATGATATATATTATAACATGTTTTGTAAGAAAATTATAAATGATATAAGAATTGAAATCATTGAAAGTTTGTAAGGTTGTATTCAATTTAGAATTTCAATGACTTTTGTAGACTTTTTAAAATAAAAAGTTGATAAAAGTTTATGAATATTTTTTATATAGACTTTTATAGAGTCTTATAAAGTTTTAAAAAGTTTTGAACGATTCTCTATGAAAGTCAATCAAAGATCTTTTTTTTTTTTTTTTTTTTTTTTTTTTTTTTTTTTTTTTCTGATCTTTTACGAATTACTCTCAGAATTACTCTCAAACTTGCGAATATAAAATTTGATTCGCATGTCTGGAAGTAATTCGTAAAA